TAGTAGTAGTAGTAGTAGTAGTAAATCCCTACTAGTACTACTCTACTCCTATATCCTTTTTCGACTATGACTACGACGAGGACAACGACGTTGACTACAGCTACGACCACGACGACGACGCATTATTGATTCGTTAATTATTTGTCGGAGAAAACCTTGAATTTTCGTTTGCGTTTTGAAATTCAATATGATTGCATGTTGTTTGCTGGAATTCAGAAATTGGTTCTCTGAGTTTTCTGGCTCCAAATTTCCAAGTGATCATCGGGACTTCGAAGGCGTTTACCGTTCATCCTTGGTGATGCAGTGCTGCGAGGTGCCCCCACCCGAAGAGAAAGATGTGATCGTCCATCAAGTGATTGCGGAACCAACCACTGAGGGCGGGAAGGAGTCTCAAGTGGTCCCCATTGTTGAGGTGCCTGACAATAAGGCTACAACTGAAGAGATAGAGTATGAAGACCCGGTGCAAGAGGCAGGTGCACAAGAGCTGGTCACCCAACCTGTTGCCCCACAAGCTTCCTTCTGCAAGCTCTTTTCCCAGATGGATTGCGTAGAGCTGCTGGTCTTGACGGTGGGTCTCATTTGTGCGATGTGCCACGGAGTAGCGCAAGCACTTTTGGTCATTATCTTCGGTGACCTCATTGACGCCCTTGGTGGAAGCCCGGATGAAGTTCAACGGGAAACGGAACGGCTTTGTCTGCTGATGTGCGCCGTGGGTGGGGGTGCCCTGGTGGCTGCCACGCTGCAAGGGGCCTCCTTCAAGATCTTGTCTGACTCCCAAACGATGAAATATCGTGTGATGTACTTCCAGGATGTACTTCACCAGGATGTCAGCTGGTTTGACACAAAAGAAGTGTCGGCCCTGTCGGCGGAGATCCAAGACGACTTGGCCAAGATTCAAGAGGCTTTTGGAGACAAGTTCGGCAACGGGGTGATGGCACTTTCGGCCTTCTTGGGAGGCTTTGCGTGTGCGTTTGGGCTTGGCTGGCTCTTGGCCCTCATCTTGTGCGCAGTGCTTCCTTTCATGGCCCTTGGCACCTATTTTGTAGGCAAGGCAGTGGCGCAGGTTCAGATGGAGTCCCAAGGCTGGTACGGCAAAGCAGCTTCCGTGGTGGAAGAGTGCCTCCATGGCATGCGCACCGTTGTGGCCTTCGGCGGTGAACAGAAAGAGCTCGAGAAGTTCTCCCATGCCGTCGCCCAAACACGCAAGGGAGGCGTGCGGAACGGCTTGCGGATCGGCTTTGGGACCGGTTCCTCGACCGTTTGCAAGAAACTTTTTGGGGAAGCTACCACCAAGTAGACCATGAGTTTTGTTTCCATTCTTTGCATACCTCTATATATAAGGCTACTCTTGGTTTGTGGAGTATTCCAACTATGCCTTGGCCTTCTATGCGGGACTGAACTTCGCCTACAATGGGGACATCAACCCCGCCACTGGTGAGACCTGGAGAACGGGCGATATCATGTCGATTTTCTTGTGCATTTTCATTGGCAGCTTCATGTTGGGACAAATCGACCCCAGCATCAAGGCAGGTTGTCATATCAAAACTGCTACAGACCAATGTACAATATTTGGGTTGGTAATCTAGTAGTCTAGTAGTCATGGTCCCGATGGGTTTTACGACCTTTTTTGGGAGGTTTTCTTGAGGATCTTCTTGTTTCAACACGCGCACCCATGCATATTTATGTATATATATAATATATGTATATATATATATATTTGTTGAAATTTTCACCTCTACATAAGAGTCCAACCAGACGCGTTGGTATACGTTTTGGCTCAAGGGCAAACAAAAGGTGTTTGCTGAGCATATTTTCTGAAAGTGGTAGCAGAGCTTCGGCTCGGTAGAAGGGATCCTTGGGAAGTGAACCAATGGCGTTAGAGGCGCAGGTACGACAGCTCCAGCAGCAAATGCAGCAGATGAGCAACGAGTTGCAGCAGAGCCGGCAACGTGGGCAAGACTTGGCAGCAAGGATCGGGACGATGGAGTCTAGCCCAGGAAACTTGGCTAATGTATTGCAAACGCTAGCAAACACCCAAACCCAAGTAGCAGAAGCCTTGAAGAAAGAAGACAAGAAGATGACATTGATTGACAACCGTGGTATTGGGAAACCAGGGAAGTTTGTTGGGAAAGAAGATGAGAGTTTCTTGCGTTGGAAGATCAAGCTAGAGTCGTTTGTTTTGTCGGTGTTTCCGGAGTTGGAGAAAGTTCTATGTTGGTCAGAAGAAGAAGACAGACCCATAGACATGGACCGAGTTCGGACCGACTTCGGTCCAGGCACGTCCGAAGACATAGAGGGGTTAGGAGGCAAAGGATCACAACTGTACTCGGTGTTACAAAACCTACTGGAAGGAGAAGCATTCATGATCATCAGGAACGCTCCCAAAGGTAACGGTTTTGAAGGTTGGAGGAGACTCAACAGGAGATTTGACCCCGCAACCGGTGCAAAGAAATCATCACTACTACGCCACATCCTGAACCCTGAAAAGAGCAAACTTGAAGAGTTAAGCGAAAGGGTTGAAGGATGGATGGAACTCGTGAACCGATACGAATCACGGAAAGGGGCCCGATGGGTCAAGACAAACATTGCAAGATGATATAAAGATGTCCATACTAGAAGCAATGTGTCCAGCGGAGATTGAACGCCATCTCCAATTGAATCGCAAAGGTTCCTGGATTTCGACGACATGCACTCCGAGTTGGCGACATACCTGGAGACGAGAGTCGGCGTCAAGTTGAAAATTGAGTCACTCGGCAAGAGCAGTTTGAAGGATCCAGATGCGATGGAAATCGGAGTTTTCACCAAAGGAAAGAACAAAGGAAAGTCCAAAGGGAAAGGAAAGAAAGGTAGCGGTAAAGGAAAAGGTAGCAAAGGTAAAGGCAAAGAGTATCATGACCAGAAAGGTGGAAAAGGATCATCAAACCCTGGCCAATCTGGTTCAAATCCGGCGTCCGCGGTCTGTTTCAGCGGCGGCAAGCCGGGACATTACCAGAGAGACTGTAGATCCAAGGGGAAAGGCAAATCAAAAGGAAAGCAAAGCAAAGGACAAGGAACGAACATGAACAGCATCGAAGACAACCGGACCAATGAACCCGAAGCAGAAAAGACCCTAGGTTTCCTAGAACTGTCGATGCTCATGGCGGAGGATAGCGAACGTGAGGTGCCCAGAGTAGGAGTGAGTGAGATGACCCGGAAGCTTGCAAGAAGGAGGTACGGAAGGGTGCTTCGAGAAGCAAATCCAATGACCTGGCGTGACTACCCGACAGGTACCGTCAGAGGTTGGCAGCTAGCCTTGAGGCAAATCATGGATTTCGAGGAAGTGTTGCAATCCAGATGGCAGCAGATGTTATGCGTGCAGAGGGGATGAATGAAGCATGCAGCAGCTGCGATGACAGGAACAAGAAGCTCACGAGGGCAGCCAAGGAGTTTGCAACAGGCAGAACGAAGATCCCGAGAACAGACGAGAAGGTCTACAGCATCGATGAGGAGCTCGAAGATGACGAGATGACGAGTGTGAGCGAAGAAGAAAAGGAGGAAGAAGAACGCTATGAGGAAGAGACGGAAGAAGAAGAGGATGTCGAAAAGGCCGAAGAAAACCCTGAGGAAAATGAAGAGCCAGATGTAGGATACGAAGGTGACGCTGATGAAGAAGAAGGAGACGAATTCTTCGAAGCCTACATGAACGAAGTGCGCAACGTGGAAGATGACTGCAAGGATGACATGGTCGAGGTTTTGGCTGAAGCTTGGCAATTCCTCTCAAACGTACGAGATAAACTTGCAGTGGATGAGGAGTTGGAGAAGATGCCAGAAGATCCACGGATAATTAGCGCTCCCAAAACGGAGCCCCAAAACGCTCCCGAAACGGACCCCAATTCAAAGGTTGAAGAAGACGAGAAGCAGGAACCAAAGACAAGATTGCCAAATACAGGACGACTCGTGACACGTATACGACATCAATCCTGATGCATGGAGATTGGGAATTTGGCATTGGAAAAGAGAAGATTGGTGCAGTACATTGAGGAGGAAGAAGATGAAGAAGAAGTTCGGAGGTATGAGAAAATGCTGAAAGAAGTTGAAGAACGTTTGAAGTACCTCAAAGACTATGTCTATGTCAGCAACCAGGACAAGGAGACAAGGAAGAAATCCATGACTACGTTGACCGAGGAAAACAAGAACTCACAGGAATGGCACGACAGCAGGTACTACAAGGCAATTGAAGCAGGTGTGAAGCATCACCGTGCATGGGTGCAAGAGAAAAGCAGGAGACGAGCAACCCTACATCGAAAGAAGAGCATGGCAGAGAGAGCCGAAGAACGACAGCGACTTGAGGAGGAATGGATCGCTGAACACCGTGCAGGAAAGAGGAGTCAGGACGACTACCAAAAGGCAGACACCGAGAACTTGGTGAGTACAATGGAGACTGAGGTGATTGTCGAAGCAGAAGAAGGAATGAAAGTGCAGAAAGGAGGAAAGAAGACCTCTGATTTCCAGGAGAAGATTGTGAGGAAGCCACTGAGTAAGAAAGAGTTGGAAAGCTTTCGACAAGAGCCAAAGGAAGAAGAGAAGAGAGTGATGGCAAAGAAGAAGGCCGACATCTTCAAGAAGAGAGTTAGGAAGATGACAGATGCACGGAGGAAGAAGAGGAACGGAAAGAAGAAATTGAAGAAGAATGCATATGAACCATGCAGAGCACTCGGATGGACAGGCGAGTGCAGCAGAGGAATCTTTTGCACATTCTCACACGACCAGAAGGTGATCGAGAAGTTGAAGGGAACGCATTGCCGATTCTTCATTCATGGAAGCTGCAGGTTTGGTGCAAAAGTGCAAACTCCTACACAGTGAAGAAGAGAAGGAGTTGGTGAAGTTGGAGAAGTTTGTGAAGAAGCTTGAGACCATCCAGGAAGAGCTCGAGAAGGAAGGAAAGATCTACGCAGAGATGGAAGACAAAGAGGAGGAGATCAGGAAAGGAGTGTCGGAGAAGTTTGAAGAGGGCACGCATAAGAATCCTTACGCGTGGGAAGAAGTTGAAGTGGAAGTTGAAGAAGAAAAGAAGGACGAGAAGAGTTTCACCGAGGAGATCCGCAGTGTCGAAGACAGGACGCCCCGCGGTACATACGATCCAGCTGCACCATGGAGGAAAAGAGAATACCGAGACTTGCTTTCGCCCGAATCGAATGGAAGTGAGTCGAAAAAGGTAAGTATGAAATCTAATTTTGTGAGTTTGAGGTAGGCCACAAAAATATGATTTTATATTATTTTCTTTTATGATTTTGTTATGTTTTTTTTACGTTTTCCTTATGATTTGGTTACGATTGGCTTTATGAAATTTTATGATTTTTTGGTGGGTTTGTTTTTTGGATATGATTTGCTTATGGTTTCGTTATGCTCTTTGAGGTCTGCAATTTCACATATACAGAGCCTTTTGGGTTGCAAAACATGGTAGTTGAGATGTGTGTTCAGCCAAACTTGTGGTGTATTTTCACAAGATTTCCTCTGCTACAAAGAAAGAAAATACATTTTTCAGAAAAACCTGGTAAACTGCGAAAAATCTTTGTTGTTCTGCAAGTCTCTTGGTCCGTTTTCTGGTTGGTTTTAAATGCAACTAAAAACTACTCAGGAATAGAATAGTCTCTATTGTATGATGGGTTTTGAGAACTAACTAGTGACTAGTGACTAGTGTTCCCAAAGGAACCTCTTCACTAATGAAGGCAGAGAGGAGTTGGCTTTCATACATGAGTTCACACCTTTCCTAGGACAGCACACCTGGGTCTAGTACACACCTTGGCCTAGGGCCTAGGACAGTAGGTTCTATACTAGGCCCTAGGCCCTAAACTACCCATCCACCCATGGCCTGGGACCTGGGAACTGCAAGCAATCCATATCTCAGAACCATTGGTCGTCTGAAAGCGTAACAAAAACATAAGAAATCCATAAGGCCCTGCATAACGAAATCATATCAAAATCATATCAAAATCATATCAAAATCATAAAAACATGGGTCTGGGAATTAGTTTTATGATTTTGATATGATTTTGTTTATGATTTTGTTATGATTTTGTTATGGTTTTGATATGGTGGGCCGCAGGTGGTCTCACCCTGCCTGGGTCACCTCAAAAAATTTGACGCTTGAGGTTTAGGGTTTAGGGTTCAGGCTTTAACCTTTGGCCTAGGGCCTAGGACACGCCTGGGGGAGTACACCTTTCCTTCGGGTCACTAGGACAGTACACCTTTCCTTCTCTACTACACACCTTTCCTTCGGGTCCTAGGCAGAAGGATTTGTAAGGCAATAGCTCAATAGCTACTAATAAGCTAATCAACAGAAAGGACGCCAAGCGTCCCTACGTTGCTTGGGCATGAGCATTGGGGTGCCTCCTTGGAATGTTCAACAACTTCCCTTCGCTGGTGAAGCTTACTTACTTAGTTTCTTAACCAAACCACTATTTTTCAAGTATGCAAACATATTCGCACCATATTTTCACAACTATATGGCGATCTTTTTGAAGTACTCAAAAAACACTCTCAAACC